GATATATAATGTAAACGTATATGATATGTAACGCTCCATTTATGTGCATCATATTGAACAGAAATTTACACTACTTTTTTGAACTGTGCAGTTACTTTGAAGAACTATTAAAAGAAATTTTTTTCCAAGTAGCCCTGAGAACAATTTCTTGGGTACAAATTGGACTTGGAACTACTTGGAAAGCAGTTCCAGATAATTTTAAGGAGAAATCCATGTAAATTTTCAATACAACTTAGACGAGAACTCCAAGACAATTCAGATTAAAAATTTATAAGAAATCAGAGGTGAACAGTATGGGAATTTATAAGGGGGTGAATTCTTTAAAAAAGTGTATACTTCAAAGAGAATCTAAGGACGAATTTGATGATTGTTTTAGTGTTCTGCAGAGAATTTCTGCACTGTTATAAAAAAAAATTCAAGGCACTCCCAGAGATAAACTCGAATTTATTTTAGATGAACTCTATAAAAATAAATTCTTTTGAAAGAAATACTTCAACTTAAATATAATCCTGTTAAGCTCTGTAAAACTCTGGAACTTCAAATACGGCTAGGTGGAATTTTAATAACTGAACAGTCTCAAATACTCATGTTAAATATTTATTTCGTTACAATATATAAGAACCTTATGGTAACTAAAATCAAACACTTCATCAATAAGTAGCTTTTGGTTTTATATATAATTAATCTACTGATTGGTTTAAGTTAAATTTGAATCCACGGCTCTAAAATTTCACCTTTCGCCAAGTTCATGTACCTGTTGAGTATAAATTTTTATTCTTGTCAATGTGCATAAAATTTAACCCTTGGATCATCTTCAATGTCCTAGAACTCTAGTTTTGTAGGCAATTCTGAGTAGACTTCCAAGGTAACCATGAATAGGATTCAATACAAATTTTAATGAAAATTCATAACAGCTTTTGACTCTAATTCTTAGGGAATTATGAGAAAATTTGGACGAGAAGGAGGATTACACCATGATCATTCTGAGGAGAACTTCAAGATAATACAAAAGAGGACATTCTGAAGATAATCTAAAGAAGATTCTGGGACAAAAGAATCCGAAGCATATTTCTATGTGAGTTTTCGGAGAAATCATAGGATTACAATTGAATATGAGTATAATTTCTATCGAACCTCACATGAATTTGGTCAAAAATTACAAGAGGGTTCTGACAAATTTTGTGGAGAAATTTAAGCAAAACTGAAAGTAATTTTTCAGGTCAGAATTGCATAGTTGTGAGTTGAATACCAAGGAAAGGAGCAAAACTCAACGGTAATTCCAACATATATTCAATTATAATTTTAAGCATACTTCCAACGGATTTCTTAGAAATATCCTTAGAAAATTCTGAGCTAAATTTCAAGGGAATTTCGAGGAGTATTCTAAAGATATTCCGGTGTTATTTTTTCAGATAATTCAAAGGAGAATCCCAGCAGCATTTCGAAGAATTTTTGGGATTTCCTAGCAGAACTAAAAAAAATGTTCCTTAGGAATAATATTAAGTAAATGTTGAGGTGAATTTTCAGGAGAATTCTTCAGAAAATTCTTAGCAAGAATTATTGATAATGTAATGAGCATTGCAGAGTGAATTAAATATTTTTCTAAAGATGTTGTAAATTTTTTTTTAAAATCATATTTTTCCTTTACACTAGTCAATAATTTCCATTATACATTTGGATTGTATTTTTGAAAAACTGGTGAAATTAGGATCATAGGTTAATGAAACTATGGTACTTTATGGTAGAAGCATTCGGAAAAACCTGTCCCAAGACGACCTAATGACACATTCAGCCTTGTTCGGCCCAGTAGAATGAATTGCAACTCCTGTTGTAGAAGAATTCTGCTTTTTTTCAGTAATTCAAAAATTAGATCTGGGTATCTATGTCATTTAATATTTTAAAACGCTATCTCGCTTCCTCATTTCGGAAATAGTTCTAATAATTAGGCAATGTCTTCTTATTAGGTAACTAAGCAAACGCGGAGCACCTTCGTGATGCAAGTTCGCAGATCGCATAAAGATTATCATAGTTCATATCTAAAATGCGTAACGTATTAGAGAAAAGATTTATTCTAAACTTTAATTCAGGAGACCATAATAATTTCAAATATGGTAAAAGATCTCTGTTATTGTAAGTCGTGTTACACAGTGTTGTTAGTTTTTAATCTAGTTGTGCAAGATCTTGCAATATAAACTTTTGACGAATGCGTACAAATAGGAAATCTTTTTTGGATGACTAACAAATCAATTTGCATGATTCTATTTCTGGAAGTTTTCTGATCATGTTTAAGTCACATTTTGGTAACTTTTTAAAATGATTTTGGTCACTTTTTAGTCACTTTTTTAAATGCACTAGTCACTTTTAGTCACTAATTCACTATTTTTATTGCTTATCACTGCTATCAGCCCTGTCTATGCTGCTTCCGAGTGACCATAAAACGTCTTACGGCTACAACTTTCAAATCTATTTTCCAGGCATGTAATAATAAGGTTTTCCTCCAGAAAGATATAGAGTACATTACGGATTCGGTAATACCTCAAATAAGTTAAGTCCTTGAGCACTCATATTTTTTCATATTTTCTCTATGCTCATGATTGTATGCAATTTAGAAAAAAATCGCGCAACTCAAGAACTACCTTTAACAATTGACCATTTTCCCGGTGAATCCGAATTTACACAGAGCCACCTTTCACGGGTTTTATCGTTCCGATTGGCCACCCACAACTCCAATCGGTTCCTTGTCTGTTCCGGTTAAAAGTAGATAGTCATACCTTTCAAGTAGTGGCTCAATCTTAATATGTGGTAAGCAAATTGCCGAGAACCAGTCATGTCAACATGAATCGACACACATTTTGCTCGGGACTTTTCCGGGTTTTTCCGTTCCGGCTGGCCAACCACAGGTCCAATTGAATGTCTACCTATTGCAAGCAAAAGTAGATAGCCATAACTTTTGAATGATGGGTGAATCATAACGATTGGTCATTGCATTGGTGAGAACCAGCCATATCAACATGCATCGACAAGCATTTTACAGCCTTATGGCTATGTCAGTTAATGACGATTCTGAAGATTTCCTGCAAACAGATGAGAGCACTGAAATAAGATTTTTCGTAGATTGCTTCGCTTCTGTGTGATTTTTCGAGCATCTAGAGTTGAGATTTATATGTGACTGAAATTTGTCTGTACAGTCACCAGGAATCTGTCAACAGACCATGATCACACTGTTATAGATAATCTGTACACTTTGACCACAGGCAAACAGACATAACTTTCGCAAGTTGTTCATCGAACACGCATTTAACTGTCAATTTAAAAGTGTTTTAGTTGGTAGTATCGCAACCTGTGGCGTGCTTAGTCAATTCCCGTGCGTTTGGCGTTTACACACTACCGCCACCTGTTCAGCGTACTGCCCATCACAGTATACTCAACAGATAGCGGTAGTGTTTTAGCGACGATGTTTTATTGTGAAAAATATGCAATGAGTTATGTCTGTTTGTCTGTGCCTTGACTGTGCACAGTTCAACAGTCACAGATATTTTGATTGTCTACAGACAACTGTTAACCGATTACATCAGAAGCCAGATAAACTGTGCAGGTTTGTACAAAGAAACTGACATCGAGTTGTGGAGAGTTGACTGTATTCACTGCTTCGAGGGTCGTTAATCAGAAGTTATAAACAGAACATTCAGAGGAATAACTACAAAATAGAGGCATGCCAAAAATTGATATTCATCTATATTCATTAAAATGGGACCTGGAATCCGCCTCACAAACGTCATGAATGTCTCTCAGAATTACCTTAAAAATTATTCCCAAAACATTCTTTAAAATTCACCTGGACCCCTTCACACAATTGCTTTGGAATTCTTCCCAGAACTAACGAAAGGTCGTCATCAGGGGTTGAAACAGTTGACGTTTTTTTACTATACTCGCATTATTGTCATGCGCGACAGTCTGTTTGTTTTGGTCTGTTTGTGTTTCTCACACGACAGAAACGGTAGAACAATATTGTGTTATTCGTTCTAATTGCTCAATTTTGTGTAAATTAAACCATTTCTGATCAGAAATGTTACTACTGCTTGCTATTTTCAGAATTCGCACAAGCCCAACATTTGGCAAATATTTGCGCAAATAGAACAATTTAATGGACAGCTACTCACCGTCTTGCAACAATTTGCTGATTGAAAGCAGTTGCATGTGTCCGAACCGTATCGTCATCTATCCAGCAGACTACGTTGAATCCGGTAACGAACGGTTTCCGCTGTGCAGTTGAAGTCGAAAAAAGCATAGAATGCATTGAAACGTGCAGACATAAACCGTATTGAATCATGTAATCCGTAATTAGCTGCTCGGGGTCCGAGATGCAGGAAACTGCTCGATCGTAGAACTCGTCCAGGTGCATAGATTTCGAATTCAGTCAAAATCCCCGGAGAGCCGATTTCGCTTATATCAGCACTTTTGCTGGCAAAAACTGCCTGGTTAATCTTCCGCCTACGGTCAAGAGTTTCAATACCCAGAAGTTGGCAACGATCTTCGTAGTGTGGAAGGTCCATGGGATCATTCCAAGGAAGGTGGCCAATTGCGAAACGAACGAATTTCCTCTGAACAGACTCGATCCTCGCTATCCAAACTGTTTCATACAAACACTATTACTACACCAAGTTCCAAGATCAATCGCACTAGATAACAATCCACCCTATTATGCGAGTCACGTGACTCTCTCTCACCGGTAGTGGGTAGAGTCAAGAACGGTTACCATTGCTTATTTGGAATTTAGCCATAACTGGTGCTATGTCATAATACTAGCTCACATGCCCTATGTATTGATTTATTTGCAGATTGAAACAACGATTATTTTTCTTCTAGCTATTGCAAGGTGTGCTCATACTTGACCGCAACAATCCATACAAGCAGAAATTGACATGAATTGAAAAACGTTTCAAAAAATAACACCTCAACAAAAAAAAAAACTTACCCTTCTTCTTTTGTTACCATTTTAGGCCGATATTATGAAATTTCACAACTACAGCAGTCCGCCAGAGAAAGTGAAGACACGATCCGTCAGTTCATCATCGGAGCAAGAGTCCACACATCTCCAGCAGCAGGAGCAGCAGCAGCAGCAGCGAAAGCCAGAACATCAGCAACAAGCAGCCGTTCAGAAGCAGCAGATAAGTCTGAAGAAGAAGATTACTCCTCAGCAGCTGCTGGAGCTGCAGAAGCAGCAGCGCGAACCACTGGCCAAGCGACTCCGCACCGACGAGTCTGTTCCGGACGACGAGACGGAACAGGACGAGCAAGAGCAGCAGCAGCAGCAGCAGCAGGAAGCGGAGGAGAACGAAATAGACACGTCAGCCACGGAATCGGAAACGGAGATGGATCAGAGCACGGATAACGAAATGATAATCTCACACCCCTCGCAGCGGTTAGATGCCAACGCGTTGAAGGCGAAGGCAGCTACCACGGCGGTCGTCGTGACGACGGACGATTCCGACTATGGACAGAACGACAAGCTGGGTCAGAAAAAGGTCAAGCGGAAAATAGTCAGCAAACCATGCAACAACAACACATCGACGAAAGCCAAACTTCAGATGGTGCATGAATTCCCGACCCTGTTCCTGGGACTGAGGCGCAACCGGATTTTCCTGGTTAACTCCCTGGCGCAGACTTTCGAACTCAATCAGCGGGACATTATCCTGACGCTGAGAAAAATCAAACTAAACGAACACAATGCTCGGTTAGCGAGCGTCTTCGGACTGACTGACAGTGAAGTGGACATCCTGTTCCGTACGAGTGTGCCTAAAATAGCCGATTGTTTACGAAATTTCATTGTGTGGCCGGACGATGTCACCATGAAGCTGAACGTTCCCATCTACCTGCGACAGCACTTTAACAAAATCCACCTGATCCTCAACTATCTGGTGGTGAAGGTCCGACAGAATGCCGTCAAATTCCTCTCCCAGGCGCAATCGGAAACGTCCTACTGCGAGGTGGATCAGTGTCACAAACTCAAATATCTGGTGGCTTCCACCCTGGACGGTTGCGTGTGCTTCGTGTCGCGGGGTTTCGGCATCCAAACGGACGATGAAGCCGTCCTGGCGCAGTCCGGTTTTCTCACCAAGTTCAAAACCAACACGAATCTGATCGCCGGCAAAAATTTCCACAATTTTGAAGATCGCCTCACCAATGGGAACGACCACGATCACGAAAATAATAACGGTGCCGGTGGCGGTGCGGTAACGGACGAGTCCGACCTGGAACGGACCATGACGACCAACGAGGAGGACGACAACTTTGGCGAGATCGTGTCCGAAAAGATCAGCAAAAGTCGGACGTTCAAGCTGAAAAACTACATCGAAAGTGTGCTGGAGAGCTTTCAGGGCCACATGATCCTGTCGCCGATGGCGTGCGTGGATGCGCGATCCCTCGAACTGCTGGACGACATTGTGGTGATCGTCGGGGCACTCATCAACCTGCAGAAGCAGGAAGTGGAATAAGGACGGGGCAGATTCATATCGGTAGGCAATGCAGAAATGGGGCACAACGCGCAACTCAAGCTTTTCTCTTTTTGCTTCATTTTTTTTTCTCTGTATGATTTAATTTTTACTTTGTTGACGATTTCTGTTTTTTTTTTCTGAAGTTTTTCCCCTCCTGTGCGCGCGTTCGAGAGGGAGGAAAAGCCGGAGAAAAGCATTAGCTTCGAGCGTGAGAGCGAGAGAGAGAGAGAGAGTTAGGATGTGTATGCATAAAATGGTTCGAATGCGCTAGGCCGTATTGTAGATAATTTATTATAATTATTATTACTGATGTAGCATTAACGATTAGTAACAACACAAATAAAGTTTACCGATGAAGTCTAAACTAGATGGAGCCGATTGTGGAAGGTTAAAGTGATGAAAAGATGAAGGAACTGAATTGTCACAGCAGCCGAACTGCATTCATTCAGGCCTATTCTGCGAGTCGTGTGACTCTCTGTCACCTAGTGAGGGGGACAACAGTCAGGTCGTGTGAGGTGAATTCTCATTTGATTTGCATGGGGAGTTACCTCACTAGTGACCGAGAGTCTCACGACCCGCAGAATAGGCCTGATTGTTGAGTAGGACTGAGAAGAAGTGTTGTTGAGAGGGTAGGTTGCTTTTAAATCATCTTCGAATCTAGCTTCAATGAATTGTGAAATGAAACAGCAAATTAATGCGGGAGGCAAAGCGTGTTTAAAGCTGTTCTTGCAATTCTAGACCACTGGGGGTGTTCCTAAGGGTTTTGCGGTGTAGGGGCCATTTTGATGTTTTTCAATGATTTTTTGCAATCCCTCTGACCTGTCGGACATTGATGCGTGTAAATACAAAAAAAAAATGTTCTGAAATAGGCATTCAAAGACTTTTAAGCTACGTATTTCGTTAGTTAGTATTGTCAGAGCATTGACTCTCTAGCCCCCAACTAGATCTGTGTGCCGATCCAAAGCTCAGCATTACGCAACAAGTGGCTAAGGTGGTATTACCACAATAAAAGGAAGGGCGAGTCCCTCGAAAATTCACAAAGATTCTGTATCTTTGCTTTTTGAAAATTTTCTCAACTTCTTCCATGTTCAATAATTATTATTTTTACGCGTTCTCTCAATTCGTTCAAAACTTTAGATGACAGATGACCCTGAACATTTCCTATTAATTTCGAAACAATGATCCCAAAACTTTCAGTACGTTCTTAAGTCAAACCCTGAAGTTTTAAAATGTACCGTATGCGTGATAATGTTTGCACCATTGAGCAATGTCAAAATTAAAAAAAAAACATCTCAAAAATTTCGTTTTCGAGTTTTTTTTATTTATTCAAAAAGGGGATGTTTCTCAGAGTTTTAAACTATGTTAATCATCGATCGAGTTTTCACTTGCTGCAATTACGGCTTTCACACGCTTCCGGAATGCACGGCAGGTTCTAATAATGTAGCCTGGATCCATTTCTCTCCAGGTACGGGTCATTGTTTGTCTGAGGCTTGCTGTACTCGGGTGGCGTTTAGAACAGGCCTTGGCCTTCATGACGCGCCATATTGAGTAATCCAGCGGATTAAGATTGGGGCTAGATGGCGGCCACATATCCTTCGCCCAGAACGGAAGATGTTCCTGCAACCACTTCTGAGTGCGGTTCGAGGTGTGGCACGGAGCCCCATCATGTTGAAATACAACATTTGGCTTCGGACCGTACTATTCTTCGATCCACGGAAGAACTTACTTACTTAAAATCCCGATGTAGACCTCCGTGTTGACCTTGTCGACTTCTGGAATGAACACCGGGTCATTTTTTTTGCCATCGGAAGCCACCTATCCAAACACCATAACGCTAACAGGATGCTTGGTCTGACACGTTCTTGTGTTCGTCGGCCACGTCTTTTACCGGAAGAGAACTAATATACCGGTCGGTTCTAGAATTTGATACGGGATCGACGGTAAAAATGCTCTCGTCGGTGAACAGGATTACCGGATTTTTTCGCTTAAGGAACTTCAAGATTTTCTTGCATCGTTCGACTCGTAACTCCCGGATGCGGTTGGTAACCATGTGAGTTTTTTTTCCGTGCCCTCGACTTCGCCCCGCAATCTTCCGTGCCAAAGGCACTGATCCCGTGTTCCTTTGCCATTTTCCTTATTGAACGCACTGGATTCACCCGAATCTTCCTTTTGATAGCAGTGATAACCCACGGAACCCCAACTGACCTCGGACGACCTGTGGCCACCTTCGCGGATAGTTGTTGTCCTTGCTTTTCTCGGTGTAAAACCCTTTTGATGGTCTACCGGGACACTCCCACGGCGATTGAAATGTCTTTTTGCGACATTTGCGTGTGGGACAAATCACGAATACGCTGCCACTTGGTCATGGTGCAACTGTCAAACTAAGTATATCATTTTCTTTTATACACAGCCTACTACGGTATGAGCTATAGGTTACGTGCATGCAAAGAAAACCAAGGCATTGTGATGCACAGGTGAAACGGGAACCTTATTTGTACGACGGTGCAAACATTATCACGCATACGGTATGCTGATCGCCCTTAATACTTCCTGGACAAAAATCCTCTAAACTTCTACAAATTTGGAAGCATTTTTGAGAAGTTTCTCAGTGCTACGTATGCACGCAGAGAAATGGCTTTTAAATTCAAAAATAAACCGCTTTGAATTCAACAAAAATTATTATAGAATCAGGGCCTAATAGTAATTTTCTTTGAATCAACAATATTTGTTATTAGTTTCAAAGCAAATGTTTGTTGATTTTACAATCAAGCTTCCATATGACTGTGAGTAGATTCAATAACATTTTTATTTGAATCTATCATATGAATTTTTGAAACAAAGCAATTATTTTTATTTCAATGATGCGCTTCTTTTTTGAAACAAAAAAAAATCTTTTTGATTAAAAAAAAATGGTTTTTTGTTTTTAAGAAACCTTTTGTTGATTCTAATAACTTGATTTACCGTAATATTTAAATTTTTATTGGCCCTATTATGTAAGTCGAGTCGAGCGTCACTTCTGCTTACTGGTCTATTTTCGTTTTACAGAAGTAATAACAAAATAGACCAGCGACCAGAAGTGTCACTCGACTCGATTTACATAGTAGGGCCCTATTGTTTAACTAAAACTTTCATGATACTTTTTGGTTTTCAAACTATATTTATTATATTTACATAATTACAGCATCTAAATAACAATCTTTCTTCTATTTTATGCAGATTGATTGTACACATTTCAAGAATGTTAATGTTGGTGATAACTGTTCTTTCAGTTGTTTTGTTAACTTCAAATGACTGCAAATGATCGTGAAATTTACGGGACAGAACCCTGAAACAAATCAATATTAGTTGCTCATCGTTATCTAATATTATTTTGTCTAACTCATAAATGCTGATGAGATTACGCTGCCTAATGTAAAAATACACATTCTTCATGAAAATCATCCCTTGCTTTTTAAATCTATCCACATATCGTATAGCATCATCATTAATCGTATCGTAAGTAGTTAAGAGGTGTTTATATTCTTCAAATAGTGGTGACATAGTTATTTTCGAATCCCGTAAATCTATTTCTGGTTCCAAAAAGCTACCATTTAACACGCTGGACGCAAATTTGAATCCGGCCTTAATTGCTAGAGATTTACACAAATTTATCTTGTTGTTAGTAGCTCTACTATACTGTTTTGAATCTCGATGTTTTGCTTCTCCTCGCATAGCCCATTGATGCCTAGGAGCACCTGATTGCATAACAAATGTAGCATAATGTTTAACTCTCCGCCCAGAGCCATCGGTCGTCCATGCAGGTTGATACCAACTCTCCTGTAGAGAAAGTAAACAAAGACTTTGATTAGTGTGAGTTGTTGTTGATACATTAATCAAACTTGGATTTCGTATATGCAGAGAGCTAATAAGATTGCAGCTGAAAGCTGGATTAACAATAGAAAAGGGCCCATCAGCATTTGTAAACAAACCGTTCTTAAGCCCTTGCCTGACAAAGCGAAGGCCGCCCACGCAAACCAACAACATCATCGTGTAGAGGAATCTTTCCCCTACCCGATTATGGTGTTGATATTAAGAACGGTCCAAGTGATGTTTTATTAAATAATTACTTATAATTAGTGCATAGCTGAAAAAAAGCAAAATAAGTAAAATCTTACCTGTGGTTCACTTGGAAACAGTAAACACAACTCAACTGCTCTGTCTTGCAATTCGGAGGCAGTTAGCTTTGAAAAACGGTCTTCAAAACCGTCTACCACGATTTGTGTTATGATGCGCTTGTCAGATCTTGTCAGAAGTTTGTTCGTTTGATATTTTGTTAGAATTGCCTTGCCTCTTGCAGATGTTTGCAGCAAATAAGTTGCTGTACAGTCAGCTCTTGTTACGTCTGGTTCATGAATGGCGAGAAGCGTAGGTGGAAAAGGCGACGGCGCTGATTCAGCCAACGGCGGAAGATTCTGGTTAAAAGGAATAAGACATTGCTGATTTGATTCTTTTAATAAATTACGGTTTACTCACCAGGCTTTTTCTCCATGCATTGATTCCGTGGATGCATTTAGTTCTTTCCGCTAAAAATGGCTGCTGGATTAGTTCCTCCACTTCCTTCCGTTCGATAAACTTCAGAATATCGACAGTGTATCGGTTTGCTGGAATAATCACAAATATTAGAATCTTCATAGTACATATAATATCAATTTTCTTACCAATGAAAGCACAAACTACAGCATCGCACAACTCAAACGATTTCAATAATTTTAACACTTCCAATTCATCCACACCTAGCGTTTCCACTTCCAACTCTTCAATGACGACTTCTTCCGACGAGTCCATTTTTCCGTTTGCGTGATTTAATAAAATGGCGGAGATCATATCATTTTCAAAGGCATATTTTTTTAATCTAAAACCAAGATCTTTGTTTCTAATGTAAATATTTTAGAACCAATTCTGCCCTGTATTAGAATCAAATAAACATATTTATTGATTTGACAAAAAATTTGCATTTGAATCAAAGCGTTAATATTTTTGATTCTAATATGCCGTATTTTTCTGCGTGTGTACTTCTTTTGGCAAAGTTCTTAGAATTCCTTTTAACTGCGCTGTACTCCTGCAAAGTTCTCTGAACTTTTTAGAATTCCGTTGATTTTATGCGAAATTGTTTGAAGTTCTACAACATTCCTGATCTATTTGAAGTTTATTAAATTTAATTATTAATGAAGTTTTGCAAATTAATCAAAATTCGCTCAACTACAACAAGGTTTCCCAAAGTTTTATGAAGATCCCAATACATCCCAATCCCAAGAAGCATCGTAAAGGGTGAACGCATAAATCTTGTTGGGGTTTAAAAATGTACACGGAAAAAAGTTTTCAAGT